TAGGCAACACGGGGTTTTCCTCCGGGGGCTTCCCCGGTTTCTCTGTGGCATCCCAACAATTACTCCATTCACACACAGAAGAAGGCAGTGGCAAACCACTTCTGGATCATCTGCCAAGAACGTATATGAACAGGTCCCAGTCCGAGAAAAGGATGGAAGGATCCTGTTCATATGGACCTGTCGTCAGACAGAACACTACAAATAAATAAAATAAATCATTATCTCCCCTATTTAAACCACTGACACTATGAATAGCTAAAAATGCCAATGTGGTCTGTAAATGTTGATGGTTAATAATTTTGTAAACGGACGTGACATGTAATATGGACTAAGCGATTAATGCATAATTCAAAATATAATACATTTAAGCTTTAACAAACATTTAAACCATACAATAATTTAGGTAATTTTTATGACCCCTGAAGATTGTCTGAAACGAGCCGAAACATGCAGAACGGAACGACAAAAGATATACGTTGAACTTGATTATTGTAATAAGAATCATAAAAATGCTACCCATAGGGTAAGAGTCAAAGAGGAGCTTCCATAGAACTCTGGATGTAAAATTATTTGTGTGTCCGGCCTCAATGCGGAAAAGAAGGCCGCTTCTATCCCACATCTGTTCTCTGGATACATTCCATTGGATCTGCTATCAAATCGAACGAATGCAAAAACAGGTCGTCCTGGTTGCTAGGCCGATGTCTCGCAACTTGCGCAGAATCTGTGCGGGTGACAGCGTTGTCTGTTCAGTACCAGAACGTGATTTTTCTGGCGCCCAGATCATTTGTTGCAATGCGTGTCCTGACAAGGAAACTCCGAAGTAGACGGCAGGTGTTTGTCTGCACTCTTCAAGCGACGAAAACGCCCAGTTTATGGCCGAACTGTCACTGGTTTCGTCATAAGGAGTTCACGTGTACTAGTCAAGGTTAGGCTTTAAATATGACAAGACGCACGCGCACTATTGTAAGTTGTCAACCGCTTCGCCCCGTCTCTGATCTGTGTGCTGGCCGAGTGTTAACCGGTTTAAACGTGTTAAAGCGGTTTACAATCAACGATATTTCGTTATTTCATCTGTTTACTTAATAAAGCGATCGCCATGAGGAGCCACTGTATAAAGTTGATTAAGACTGTCGTAATAAATAAGAAATTTAAGTGATTCTGTGCAATTATTTTTTATAAAATGAAACTCATGGCGAAAAATGTTGTCCAAACTTGTCATAACACGCCAACACCTGTCAGAAACTGTCTAAAACCCGTCATGACTTGTTTAAACCTGTAATAGATTTTCAAAATATGTTCAAACCTGTCAGAACGTGTCCAAACCTGTCAGGTACTGTCTGAATATGCCATGTAGTCTCACAGAAGTTTATCAACGTTTCAGAGATTCTTTCTGTCTCCATCAGCAGATGATAAAGGCAGCAAGGCCCTCTGAAACTTCGGTAAATTTCTACCTGACTACAGAACACAGCCATCTTCTTACTCACACCTGACATGGCTTCTTAACCGGAACCAGAATCACGGAATGCGAGCAGGATACCAACATCCTAGTTACGGCAGGCGTACCAACCGTGGAAGCTTAGGCCGAAAGCCACCAAAGCCGCGAGTCGATCATCCACAAGGAAAAATCTCCTGCTCTGTTACCTCAACTGACACGTGATAAAGGTCAGAGGACACCAGAGATAATGGCGTACGGAGCGCGGTCGACTGATGTGCTAAATGAACCGGAGGGAGGGGTAAGCTACAGTTAAAACTGGATATAAGAGAACTGGATTATTGGCGTAATTTGCATTGGGTATGTGCTTACATTTCACACACTGATATCGTACAGAAACGAAATTTTTGGAAGGAATTTATGAAATTCACAAGCGTAGAGCAGTGAACGGAGAAAACACTAAATTAATAAATTGACAAACTGATGCGCCATCTTGTTGCAAAATATTGTCTCACGAAGATTTTCAGTGCCTGATAAATGTGAGATACAACTGCTTGTGATTTCCACCACGTGGAGGCGTGCATGAGTGCACAACCTTTGTAATCATAATTATACGATTTAGTGTTTCGTTTTAGGAAAACAAAAGCTTTTCTTTTCACACCCGAAAGTGCACAGATTGAAGATTGCTGTGGACTGGTCACTACAATGAAATGACGTTTCGGAGTTGCAGCTTGTTCAGTGTCCGAGACAAGTAAGTGCAGGCCGCGGCCATAAATCCGTCTGTATTGTCGACTGTGTGCCGAAATCGGTTCGAGCAGTAACTCCATCTATCCGACAGTACGTGAAACACTTCAAAGGCAAGATGTGCGCACGAGGTTGTTTTACGTCGGCCCCCCCACCCGGTGACTGTGCGCGTTTTGACAATCGTACCGCCTGAAGATGAGGAGTCTCCGGACCCACACGAACACTTCCAGGGACCAGGACTGAAGAGGCAGCCTTTGGAAATCGCGGTCGGTTGACAACACCTCGTCAGCTGTGTGGACTGTACCGAACAGTCGAGAAACACGAGACGAAAAAAAAGGCGAAGAATCCGTCAGACTTGCAGTCCCAAACGGAAATTGGCGAACCGCAATTAACTGTCGCCAGATGGCAGACAGATCGCCCGCCGTAAACGTGATCAGGCAACTAAATTTTCGCATTACGACGCAAGGCAGAGGAAAACGAAGGCGATGGTGAGATGTCACGTTCTCAAGGCGTCGAGCATGAACATGGCTGTCTTCTGACGTTTCGGAGGTTCATATTGTCACGACCAGTCATCGATATTGAAGGTACTAGAATCTGGAAAAATTCTCATCTTTCAAAAGTTCAGGTTTTGTGGCTTCTGTAACACCTCTGGCTGAGAGTTCCCTAGGGAACTGGACTTTACGCGATGCTGAGTCTCTAGAGGAACGTCCGGTGTGTGCAAGAGTGTGCTCTACAAGCAAAAAGCACAGTTCACACCGAGTCGAGAGTTTTATAACACGAATTCTGACCCCCCCCCCTCATCAGATGTAATGACTAATCACTTCCGCTCTAAAACGTCGAACAACGCCCATCAGCTAC